CAACCTGCAAGAGGTCCTCACAGAGGCCGCCTTCAACCGCCTGCCGGTGGTGCGTCTCTCACCTCTGCAGGATCCCACCCCTGTTGCCGGCGAGGGTGACGGTGACGGCGGCACTGCCGGTAATTTCCTCTCTTCCTGCGCTTTTTATTGTATTTAGTATTCTTGGTAGGACTACTGTCTTGTGGAGCTGCCTTTCATAAATTCCGCCTGCGTAAGGATGCCTGAAAATAAATTCCGCAAGCCTAAGGTCGAATTTCCGCCAATAAGCATTGTCTAATATTCTTATTGGTCAATCAGTAACCTAAGCAAGAGGAGTTTATCTTGGTCGATCTGATTATATTTAGCTCGCTAAAGCAATTATGAATGTCTTTAATTTACTTTCTCTTGTTCACTTCCTACCCAATTTAACACGCAGTATGTAATCTTTACCCACATTTGGGTGAGGAGAGTTTATTTTTAGGGGAGCCTCGCAAGACAGTTTTGGTTTATTTTTTGTTGAAGTCAACTACGGTAGTTAAGCTAACACATGCAAATCCTGACCGAAGTTAGAGTTGGCAGTTTAGTATTTTTTGTTGAAGTAAAATACAGTGCGACCGGGAGTTCGTGCGGCATGCCGAAATTGGCGAAAACTTGACCGTCACTCGCAAACCGGCATTAAGCATGTGTAAATACTGTAAAATAAAAATAATAAACGACCTTTGGCGAATTTGTAACTTAAAAGACTCATGCAAAGTACTACTTGTTTGTTTAAAAACTTAAATCTTCGAAGCAATATTCAAGTTCCGCAGACATGGAAAACAGCTATAAATTGGACCAATAAATGTAAATATATAGTCGTCAGGTGAAGTCATATCCATATCTGCTCCTGCTCTCCCTCACTTTTGCGTGGTTTTTGGTAGTCACAAATCCAATAGTTTCCTCTGGCAGGAATGGGGCTGTAGGTTAGCCATTTTTTTGCCGGCGCATCAATCACCCATGTCAGATGCTGGCACGGATCCCGCTGTTGGAACCGGTGTCTGTCGATTATCGGACCAGGGATCCCACCAATGCACTTTGAGCTCGCGTCCATTAGCCGCATGGAAAGACTGTACGCCACTTCCGTTGAATGTAACTTCCTAGTCAGAGGCTTGGCGGCTTCACTTTACTGGTTATTTTTAATCGCACACTATTTACTGGAGGGACATCTAATTCTGTTATTCCTATTTGCTCATACGTAAAATTCTCGAACATTCACATCCCTTCTTTGGTGCTTTCATTCCCTCCTAGATGCTCCCGTTCGATCAAATCGGCGGCGGTCTCAGCGCTCGTCCAATGCTGCTGCTCCGAAGCCTCCTGCTGTTCGTCTGCCCCCTCTCGTCATTCAACCCCCGTATGTCTCCTATTTTCTTATTGGCTGCTTTTCGTCTTACCTCTGCATCTTCCTTCTATAAACCTTCGACAATCTAAGTCTCTAATTAGCAGTAGTCGTAGCATTGATAGTAGTTGTTGTAGTGGCAGTAGCAGCAGCAGTAGTATTGGTAGTAATAGTAGTAGTGTTAGTTGTAGAAATATTATTTGTAGTAGCCGTAGTAATAGTTTTAAAAATAGTATTAGTTCGTATTAACAGTAGTAGTATTAATAGTATTAGTAGAAGTAGTAGTAGAAGTAGCAGTAATATGAGTAATAGTAGTAGTAGTAGTAGTGGCGTTAGTAGTAGCAGTAGTCGTAGTGGCAATAGTATAAGTAGTAACAGCAGAAGTAATTGTAGTGGTAGTGGTAATCCTATTAGTAACAGCATTATTAGAAATAATAGTCTCAGTAGTAGTGTTATTAGTTAGTAGCAGTATTATTTCTTAGTAGCAGTATTAGTCAGTGGCAGTAGTAGTATTAGTTGTACTAGTAATAGTTGTGGTAATAGTAGCATTAGTAATAATAGTAATAGTAGTATTAGATATG